ACTCTGGTCCATGAATCAGATTCAGCATACACCTGTATATAGATACATATAAATTCATAGTGGTACTTAACAGCCTAAGTAGCATGCAGGAACTGACTTCCAATGGGAAAAAATGTAGCATTCAAACTGGGAAATTAAGTGTTGATTGCAAGATCCTTTCTCAGTAATGTCAAATCCTCCCGAGATAACAAATCCATTTTTTATAGAAAGACAAAGTTGTTTTTCACAACCCCCTCCCTTGAAAAGAGGTTTTGCATGTTTGTAAGACCCCCCCCCCTTTTTTTTTTTTGCTTGTCAAAGTTTTTTTTTTTTGAGATATTATTTGCTGTTCTCTTCCATTTCTTACCCCTTACTTAAAATGAAAATATGCTGTACAGTGGCGGATCCAGAACTTCTTAGATTTTTTCTTGCTTTGATAGGGCTTCTACTGAACATACATAAAAGTTTTACCAAAATTCATTACACAAAGTTATAATTGTTCACTAGATTTTATTAAGCACCATTCAATAGTGATTATTTTTTAAATATTTTATAGATCTGTTGCTTTAACAAATTTATGACACTGTAACTTCCATCTACACAAGTTACTTTTGGGGACGACCATTTGATTCTGGGGTTTGGGGGAGGGAGCTAAGAGATTGTGGAAATAATATGTTCTCGAAAATGTTAAAAATAAATAATCTGTCCTCAACTGGCAAGAAAATAATTAATCTGTCCTTGGCTGGTTCTATTATACTATTCCCTCCCCTCCTTTTTTTCCTGTCAAACTGTAGAAAATAAATAATCTGTCCTTGATCATGTTGAAAAGTTGAAAATAAATAATCTATCCTTGACTGGCATGAAAACAAATAATTTTGTAAGCCCCCTCCCGTACCACCCCCTTTGACTTTACTCTTTTGGTAAAAGTCACAACGGTAGACCATTACATCTTTTTTCCCAATAATAAAGCCAATGTTATAAGAAACATTTTAAGGACACACGCAACGTACCTTACCTACTGATAATTTTTCCAGATATTTTTAGTTCAAGATTATAGTGCCATCAGATGTTCGTAGACAAAAAATCAACATGCATTACCAGGGGTTTTGAAAAGATATCAATTGATGAAAATTCTTGCACAATTCAAAGAAAAATATACAAAAATTACTAAACATATATTCTATCTGTTTAGTTTATCAAAACTTGTTTTAGATGAAGTGTACAAAAGCATATATAGACATAAAAATGTAGCACACAATTCCTTTAAGTATTGGAACTCTTCAACTCCAGGGAAAAAGACAATAAAGTTCAAACTACATTGCGTATGTCCTTAATTTTAAAAAAGCTATGGTTATTAATTCATTCATTCTGTTGTGTGTAACACTTTCTTTCCGGGGTTTGAGCTTTTGCAATGAAATTTTATATTACAACTTCATATGGCCTAAAGAAAACCACTTTTGATTTTGAGGTCCAAAGGTCAAGGTCATGAATTCAAACATTTCAAATAACATTTTCCAGATGATATCTTTTGTTTTCCTTGCGCTTTATTCACGACTGGACTTTTGCGAGAAGCGCTGACTTTCACAGACGACGGCTTACTGTGACATTTGAACCTGCGCTCTGTACCGCGATACGGAAATAAATAAGAAAAACTTAATAGTGGGACAGAAATGATGTTAGGGGCGCTAACAAGATTTACCGGTATACAACCAACACAAGAAATAATGAAAGGCAGAATAACATACATTTATGTAATTTAAATACCTTATTCGTGAAGGGTACTTTATCTCCTTTCAATCTCATTTTCTGAAGGAACCAAATAAGGAAGAAAAACCATTTCCGAAGGAAAATTTGGAAGGAGTTGTTGATGGTGGAAAGGGAAGGGTTTGAGGATAGGGTGGTTGTCGTCTCCTTCCTAGACAACAAATTGTGCTCTGAAATAGCTCATCAGCTGTTAAGCTAAATATTTATATCGCGAAAGAGTTTCCGTTTATTTTCTTAGTGTAAAAGTAAGACTCTACCCAAGAAAAATGCGCCATACCCCCCCCCCCCCCGGCTAGGGGGCTTAGCCCCCCTTTTTTTAACAAAGAATTGGTACTAAAAGAAGTTCGACCCCCCCCCCCCCCAATACACACACACAATAGGATTTTTTCGGGTTTGGACAATTTTCAATTTTCCTTTTTTAATTTTTGGTTGTCAAGTTTTTTTCAGGTTTGATTTTTTTCTAGCCCCCCCCCCCCCTTTCAATTTGCTTCCGACGCCTATGTGCGCGATCCTTGCTTAAGAAAGTAACGCGTTGCACGCTTAAAATATCAGTACTTTGTGCTGTAAAATTCTTTGTTTTGCATGAAATCCATCCAAATGTCTTTTTTTTTTGACTGGCTTTGGAAAGTTCTATTCAAAACCTATTGATTCATACTAAAATCACCCATATTGCGAGCATTGTTTCGAAAACACCAATAGATTTAATAGGTCTGATACTAAAATTTTAAAATGGTACCAACATCGCGTGTAACGTCTACGCGGTCGACTGTAAAAGTCAGCGCTTCTCGCAAAAGTCTATTTTAGTATCAATAATAATATAATTATTTCAATGCCCATTCACATTAAAACAATTTTTTTTATTTCCATGGGGTTATTTTTTTAAAATTAATATCGGGTTCGATGCCATGAACGTTGAAAATTCCCCACTCTCTACCAACGGCTTTATGAGTAAGGAACGAACGACAACTCTGCATAGGAGATTTCCATCAATACTAAGATCGGGGACTGACAACATCGATATGCACATGTTGCTTTTAAATCAACCATTATATCTTATTTGTTTTATATTGCTTGAATCAAATGAATCACTTCGGTATTTCACGACTGTTTATCGAAAACGAAAGTAGACTTTTAATTAAATTAAATGAGAATTACTATGCAAATTTTACGTATATCACCTTACACCTAGTATACCCTTAGAGAAGTTAGCTTGAACTCTAGCTGCTTTTGCAGGCATTTTGGGTTTATTTGCTAAAATATTCATATATAATTAATGATGTAATATATAAATTATAAGCTAAATGCTGATTGGATAATCGAGTTAGGTTCATTAAATGGAATATAAATTATTTATCATCAATGTCAAAGTTTTTATTTTAAAAATGAATTTTCCTGTGAATGATTAGCCACTGATAGTGCAATAATTGAAAACTAAATCATACTGGTGTGCAATATTAGTGTACATTGACGTCAATACTCACTGGAATGGAAACCCCCCAAAACTGGTAAGTATAACGATATCTTGTTATAAATTAGGTAGAGAAGAAACAATATATATCATTCAGATCTTTAAAAAAATGAATTAAGCTAAAGGGAATAGAACTGTTTATGTTTTTATTAAAATACTTAACTTCAGAGATCTTAATTCATTTACAGTATGATTATGTATCTACTCTCGTTTTCGAAATCATATTTTCTTTTAACATATATTTGTTTCAATTATTTTGTGAGTAAACTTTGCCAGAAGGAAGTATTGGAATTAAAAAAAAAAGACCTATAGGAAAGAACTATTTCCCAGAAAAATATCAAAATTCAAAATCAATATTAATATGTCTAAAATTACAGTGTTGCATTTTGAACCTGAAATTAATTACTTTATTTATTATAATTATACATCCCAAAAGGATGCATTGGAATTTAAAAAAAAAAAAAGAAAGAAAAAAAAAGTGACCTATAGTAAAGAACAATATCCCAGAAAAAGTCAGAATTCAAAATCAATGTTCTTTAGTTATTTTCTACAATTTATATGTCTAAATTTTTCAGATTTGCATTTTGAACCTAACATTTGCTATTTGCAAATTTAAAATTAACATTAAGAGTCGGCTAAGACAATGCTAAAGTACCGATATTTGCTTGAACTTTTGGTCAAAAAGTCCTTCAGAACAGGCTTGTCCCTAAATAGTACGATATTTGTACTAAAATGGTAAAGAGAATAGTAATAAACAGTTTGCCAGTGCATTTTGTCTAAAGTTATAAATGACTGTATTTCTGGGGAGGGGGAGCTCCATGTAATTAGGAGTGAATAATGGCCTAAAAATTAGTATGAAAAATGTCAGTCAGCATTGACATAATGATAGCTTGTATTTGATTACAAGGTCATTATATCAACCATAAAACTTGCTAAATGATGACTTCAAACGAGACTGTTGAAATCCTTGTTTCATCAACTTGTTTATCAACAGCTTACCTCGTTTTAGAAATTGTTCATATGCAGAGCACGCTCTTGTGTATAGAAACAACTAAGAGACATAAACCCCGTATGCAGGTGATAAGGGTATATTGCTACAAAAGTTAGAGAAGCTGAAGTTTGAAAACTTGTAGTTTATCATAAAGCTTTCTTGTTAGGTTAACGTCTTTTTCTACTAAAATATACAGATATGAAACATATGTGTCAAACTCTGTGGCATCTTTTATTTCAAATTCACTGGGATATATTAAGTCGACGTATGGATGGAAGTACAGAACTATTATTACATGTAATTGATAATACGTCGTCGATAAATCTAAATGTCGAGTTGAAGGCCACAGCAAGTGTTTTCTTCTTCTCATGTAGAAGGTTTTGAATAAATTCTGTTTCATACGAATACAAAAATAGGTCTGCCAATAACGGGGCGCAATTGGTACCCATAGAAATCCCAACAGATTGTTGGAAGACCCGATCTCCAAAAACTACATAGATATTGTCAATCAGAAACTCAAGCATCTTTTTAATATCAACTCGGAGTACTTCTATGTACAGTCAGAATGTTTTTTAACAAAACGATTTTGCAAATGACCTATGACAAGGTATAAGTATATATACGAGGTCCATTTTTGTTGTTGAAAAAGCAGCGGTGTATAATGTCAAAAAATAGACTTTAATTTATCGTGGGGAATGAATGTGTAAAATGTTGAAAAATTTAAATTAAATATTACTTACAAAACCCTGGACTTCAACTCACCACATTTCACAAAAAGCCTTCATTGTATTTTAGACGTTTCATTATAAGAAGTCACTGACCTTCAAAAGACATGGAGGAAAACACTTTGGATGAAAGGTAATTTTATTTAAAGCATTATAATATTGACGATAAATGCCGTTTTTTAAAGTGACGAAAAAGAACATCACAATCATATGCACATGCATCACACCGAATAATTCTACAGTTTTTTTCATTCTACATATGTTGGATCATTTAGGATTAAAGAATATATCAAATATATTCATTATCATGCTGTGCAATTTTAACTTCCCCCCCCCCCAGAATTTCATGCAAAGAATTGGAATCATCATGCAGAATAAAAAAGTGCAGTTGCTGTTTGAAGGAGTCTGTTACTTATTTCTGTACCTACTGTGAGGATAATTTATGTGAGGAATGCAAGTTGCCCCATCTTACTCAAAGTGCAAAGACTGACAAAGGCCACAATGTTGTATATTACCGGGACAAGAACCAAGACATTATTCAAAGACGGTCATGTGAAATTCACAAAGACATTCCAAGTACAGCCTATTGTGAAAACTGCAACAAATCTGTGTGCAAGGAATGTGAAGGAGAAACATGTAAATCCCACATGATTTTTCAAATAACAGAACTTCTGAAGACAAAAATAAATCAAATTCTCAAATCACGTGAAGATCTTACTGTTTTACTACGTCAAATAGAGGGAAAATGCCTTTATTTTCAAAACTGTGTGGGAAATTTGGAGCGCAATCACAGGATAGTGAAAAATGAAATTTATAAGTATGTAGATAAGCTATGTAATGTAGTGGAACAGTGGAAACGTGAAATGTTGTCTCGTCTAAATGGAGAAAAAAGACAGTCTAAGATTCTGATAAGAGATTCTCTACGAAAGGCAAGACGAAAATTTAATGAAATAGATAGAAAAATAAAAAAGAAAGGAAAAATTCTTCTCGACATTGAAGCCTACATTGAAGCCTTACATAATCCTGAACTGTTACCTGAACCCGAGAACATCGAGTGTCTCCCTGAAAAACCAGACCTAAAAATTCCAAGAATAAGTCTGTCCACTGCAGATATTAATACTGAGTTCTTGTGTAACTTTGCGAACATTACCGTGTCAACGACTAATACCCTTGAAATAAATAGTTCTAACATACAGAAGGTAGAATCAAAACATTTCAAGAATAAGATACAAGACATGGTATGCAGTACAGTTGGGGATGCCTTATTCGTTACAGAAAAAGGAAAAAGTAAGATTTCAAAAATCGATCACGATGGCAAGATTCAGACCGAGTTTGGAACGAAATGTGACGAGCCACTGTTTTCTGCTTATTATGCCGGAGGAGTAATATATGGTAACCCCGAAAATAAAACGATTGAAATGTCCACTTCCGAGTCCCGGGATGAAGTAAAGACTATTATGTCTACAGGAAAATGGTTTTCCAGAGGAATTGCAATTACACGCGAAAAGATACACGTTTGCCTTCGTTTATATCCTGAAAAAAGTAAAGAAGGACGAGCAAAGGTGTCTACATTTGAAGTACCTAAAAATCTCTTTAAATCTTTCAAGAAGGTGAAAAACATTGAATTCCATGAAAGTCAGTCTCTCTTTCATGATCCAAGATTCATTGTGGAAAATAAAAATGGAGACTTGTGTGTAACGGACACAGCAAAGAAATCTTTAATCGTTGTTCAGAAATCGGGAAAATTTAGGTTTACGTACAAGAGAGATCTTCCGAGCCACAAGTTTAACCCACAAAATATTTGTGCTGATAGTGCAGGCTTGCTACTTTTACTAAACCTTTCTCAGTTAACAGCAAACATTCATATCATCAACCACGATGGACAATACATCTGTCATATTGAGTCAGAATATTTGAACAGACCTACAGCCATGTGCATTGATTGCTACGATAGATTGTGGTTAGCGGACAGAGTAAATGACGAGACTAAAATTCTTTGTGTACAGAAAAGTGATGACATTCTCAAGACATTGGAAGAGTTCAAGAATCCTTCAATGAAAAAACATAAAGACAAATTACCAACCGCAGGAAGTAGAGCAGTTTTACAACGGTCACAAGCATCATCATGTACAATTTCTTAAAATCAAAGAAACACTGAAGGTTTCAAACATCTCTAAAAACAAATCTACACCTCACTAGATTGATTGATTGATTGTATGCTGTTTCACGTACTATTCGAGAATTTTTCACTCATATACAGACGTCACCATATATCGGTGAAGGGCTTCAAATTTAGACCTATACTCAGGGCCATTGAGCAATGAAGGTTCTTTTTGGTGCCAACGCCTACCGTGACACGGGACCACGGTTTTTAAGGTGTCATCCGAAAGACCCGTGACTAGTGCCGGGCGCTTGGCGAAGGAACAATTACTACCTATGTTTACGTCTTAGGTTTGACGCGGCGCGGCGAATGAGAATCGAACCGGGCCTCCCTATCACGAAGCGAACGCCCTACCACTAGGCTAGTGACCGGTACACCTTACTAGAAATTGAAGAAAGGCTTAGAATGTCACTGGCCTTTTGTATTGACTGAGTGAAAAGTGTCGCAAAATCCGAAGACATTGACCATACATGTAGGAAGAATAACACAAATATTCCTGAAGTTTACGCAAATGGAAAAAGACATGACTGTAAACCATCTCCCTCGACAAAGTCATCTACGTCTTTAAAATTTTGAGAGGACGATTCTTTATACACTGTCAGATATATCCATGTGTGTTCTATGTTTATTCTTTTTATTTACAAAGAAAGCAATACATGTATATTAGTGTAATTTTATAATTTTTTATATTTTGAAATATAAACAGGACAACATAATTTTACCTCCAAGAACTGCCACTGTGTTCTCTGTTTATGTTCCACAAATTAAAATGAGATATATTTATTTAATTTTGTACATTCATTTAAAATTAAAGTTAAAAAATTATTCTGACTTAAGCATTCTCAATATTTGTTTAATATATTTAGTCTTCAAAAGGTATATAAGAGAAAAACTTTTTTGCCAGACCAACTTTAAAATAATGTTCGATTGCCCTCTCCCGACTCAGGATGAAAAATTTGGGTCGGTAGGTAGGTGGAATTTTTTTTTTTTTTACAGAGTTTTCAAATCAATGCTGAATTTTCAAAATATATTTTCCAAAATGCATAAAAAATATTAATTGTTTCCTGGAGGTTAAAAAAAGTTTGGAGTCGGGCCACTTTGAGCCAGTCGGTCGGGAGAGGGCAACCAAACAAATTTTTAAAGATGGCCCCATCAGCAGACACTCTCTACTCCCAGATGTCATGATGATTTGAACAACTATGCCAGGAAGCTTTCTTTAAAGTATATATTATCTTTTTTGATCTAGTGATTCTTTAGGAGAAAGTTTTTAAGACACCAACCTATTTTCCCTTTCTTCATTATATACCCTGTAAAGAGTGCAAGACTCTTTATTTGAACAAACTTTAAATTTTTGGCTCAAGTGATCTTTTCTGATTACATGTTGTCTGGTGTCCTTCTGTTAACTTTTCACATTTTCGACTTCTTCTCAAACACCACGAGGCCAATTTCAACCATATTTGCTGCAAAGCGTCCTTGGAAAAAAGTAATTCAAGTTTGTTCAAACGAAGGACCAAGTTCTTTTCCAGGAGGATATAATTAAGAAGAAGTGAAAACTTTATGTCATCTTTTAAAAATTTTGTTCTCAAGAACCTCTGGGCGAGAAAAGTTAAAACTTAGGTTTAAGCATCCTCAGGTAGTTTAGGTTAAATTTTGTTCAATCATACATGACAGGTGGCTAGGGTGGGGCCACATCAAAATTTTACCCAGGAATACCTAGGATAAAAATATCTTTGTAGTCTAGACCTTCTCAGGACTCACTACGCAAGTTGAAACTTAGGTGAAAGCTTCATTACAAGGTGTATCAAGATTGTTCAAACCATGGCTCCCTTGGAAAGACGGACATAGTTTTATTTCATTTTTATGCCATTTTTTTTTTTTAAATCTTGTCCCCCCTTACAGCATATCTCAAAATCTTATAGAATCAAAACTCATGGCCCACCTATATCATCGGATAGAACATACAGCAATCGTCTCGAAAAGATAAAAAAAAATTGGAGAATAAATTAATAATTATTAGTGATCTAAAAAAAAAACTTAAGTCTTATTTAGTTTAAAAATATCCATTTCTAAATTTTTTTTCTCAGTTTTTCAAAGTCGATGAATTGCATCAATAATAATTTGTAATCTAAAATAACTATATTTAGCCTTGTATAGTTTTGAAAATATCCACTCCTAAATATTTTTAACTATTTTGCGTGAGGAATCGTGCGTTTGCGTTAGCAATCGTGAAAGATCTTGTAATGTGTAGAATCGTGTGCGTGAAGGATCATTCGTGTAACAGGTTTAATCGTGCGTTAATCGTTCGTGTAACGTGATCGTTCATGTATGTTCTCAACAATAACGTTGCAGCCACTGTACATGTACATCTACAGGGAAAAAAATCTTTTTCAGATCAGTATGATCATGTTGAGTATACGTATTGGTATTGAAGCATTCCATTTTTGCCCCCCCCCCCCCCGCATTCGCGAAAGCAAGGGGACATTAAATCTCATTCGTCTGTCTGTCAGTCTGTACATCTGTCAGTCTGTCCGTTTGTCACAAAAACTTTAACCTAGGTCATAACTTTTCAATGAGAAGAGATGGGGCTTTCATATTTCAGATGTACGTTATCTGTGACAAGACCTTTCCAAATATACTATGATTTTTGACCCCGTGACCTTGAAGTTTGTCCTACTTTTCAAAAATTAATATTACTTTAAATTGGTAATAACTTTTGAATGAGAAAAGATAGGGCTTTCATATTCTCTATGTATATAACCTGTGACAAGACCTTTCCAAATATGCTATGATTTTTGACCCCGTGACCTCTACCCTGAAGTTTGACCTACTTTTCAAAAATTTTATCTTTGCTTATAACTTTTGGTTGAGAAGAGATATGGCATTCATATTTGACGTGTATTACCTATGGCAAGACCTTTCCAAACACACTATGGTTTTTAACCCACTTGACCCCGTGACCTTGAATTTTGACCTAAATTTCGAATTTTTTTTATCTTTGCTTATAACTTTTGATTGAAAATAGATAGTGCTTTCATATTTGACATGTGCATTACCAGTTAAAAGGTGTTTCTGGCTACTTAATTAACTCGCATGTGGACATAAATAAGTCGCCTGTCTACAAAATTATATTGCATGTTAACATTAAAATGTTGCATCTTTGATATATGACATCAGATACTGGCGTTAGTAAGTAAGGAGCTTTACCCATATTAAAATCAGGTTCTCTAAAATGATAAGTAACTGGCATGTCAACATCATAATCATGCATGCAGTCCTAATCATCTCGCTTGTTATCATACTTTTCTCGCATGACATAATTTTTTTTGCATCTAGGGGGCAGACATATGCCACTATAGTATCACTGCTCTTTCCAATATAGAATATGATGCACCTTTTCAGAGAAATGATGCGTCGTTTTATGACAATTTCAATATTTGCATATGTGTGAATGTTTCCCTGAAGAGTTCATATGACTGAAAAAAAACAGGAAGAAATTACTCATATATAAAATTAATTTGCAACTAGTCTCATTTCATGTAAATTTTGCACATGGAGTAAAATTACTCATGTGCAAATCTTGCTTTTCCTCCTTCATATGTGCCAAAATACACACAGGAGAAAAATTTGCATACATGTTAAATTTGCACATCGTGTGTAAAAGGGCGCCGGGGCTACATACTAGAATACTCTAGTGTAAAATAGAAATGAATTTAGGACCAGTAATTATCCATAACAAAATTTAGCAAGAGGCCCTTAGGTCACAAATAAGCCTGAGCCACTATGACCCTTCTGTTCTTTTTCAGCAGATTTTCCCTTAAATTACGTATTCCTATGTAAAATTCAGACCACACATTGTGGCCATTACACCCAGGTATCATGATTTGAATAAACGAATCTACACTGCCTGAGAATATGACTAATATATATAAGGCTGTTCTTGTACAACTTGGATCGCCTATACTGGTCTCATCCCACCCTTGGGGTCATGATTTGAACATTTGAATTTAACGCTACATATTATATAATAACGCTGCAATTCATTTCCGGGAATTTGCATTGCATTTCCGAAATTTTTATTTTCATTTCCGACATTTATTATTTATTTATTTTTTTTTTCACATGTCCGGAATTTTTTTAGGGCACCTGACTACCTATTTGACAATTTAAGGTATTTCCAACCTCATGAATTTATGGGTTCAAAATAGAAAAACTGCATTTATTTTCACTGAATATAGTTTAAATTGATTAATAATCACCAAAAATGTATAGGTTGCCATATTTTTAAGACATAAGACATTCATAAACAAGAAGTATGTCAGCATAAAAAATCGTATATTTTAATAAACAGTATTATAAAAATTATGTAAAAACTGGTTCAAATACATAATTCCGATGCTGAAAGTTCCAAAAATAACTGCTACTTTATAAATATGTTTGAATTGTGAATATCAGGGAAACCAATTTATATTAGAAGTACAATTTAGAAAATGCCTGAATGAAGATACGTCAGCAGGAATTACCGCCCTTAGCAACATTTTTAAAGAATGAAATAATTGATTGAATAAGGAAAATATTCAATTTTTTAACTCTTTAACTTTACAATATTTTTCATTACACCCATTGCAAAACATTCTTTCGAAAGATATTTTTCTAATGGGTATGAATTTAAATAATAACAGTTTTTGCTAAAACCTATGACATCACAGGGGGGTGGAATTTCCTTAATGGTAACCAAGTAGACGGAAATAAAATTTTAACAGAATATAAATATTGCACTTATTCCAAATCACATTTTTCGAAGAAAAATATACACTGTATTTAAAAAAAATGTATACACTGTATTTTAAATGCAGTACTTAGTCCAGTTAAAAAGTTTTTCATGAGTTAAATGACTGTGCAATTTTTGTTCATCAAATTTTATATCCACTGATTTATATGTCGGTGACTTTATGATTTATTCTTTCAATTTTTTTTAAATAAGGAAATTCTTCAATTCTGTTTTCATTGCCTTTAAGATAAATGCAGGAGATGAAACTTTAAAATGTCGGCAAACTACAAAATGTCGGTAATGAAAAGTTGAATATTTATAAAAATTCCGGAAACGAAATGCAGCCTATATATATATATAAATATGATTACCATGGCTTCGCTGTTCTAAAGAAGAAACTTTTCCTAAATACCGGTATTCCTAGTGAAAACTTTGATAGCCCATTGTGGCCCTCTCCTATACCTGGGGATTTTGATTTGAACAAATTTGAATCCACACTACCTGAGGATGCTTCCACATAAAAATGACTAATCATGGCTTTGCTGTTCTTGAGAAGGAGATTCTTAAAGATTTTTTCCTATGATTTCTTATGTAAAACTTTGATCATACATAGTGGCCCCACTCTACCTCCGAGGGTCATGAATTGGAAAAACTTGAATTTAACTTATGCCAGGAAGCTTACGTATAAGTTTCATCTTTTCTGACTCAGTGGTTCTTGAGAACTTTTTTTTAAATGACCCAACCCGATTTAGAATTAATTCTTAATCATCCCCCCTTGGAAAAGGATGCTGACCCCCATTTTTTTCGTTTGGTTGAAGTTTGGCCTTCTGGTTCTGGAGATGGAAAAAGGTGAAGATAACGAACAGTCTTCGACCTCAGAAAATCTATCAATAATTATACAAATCTGTGAAGAGAGCATAAAAACATGGACCCCTGAAAATTCCATAGGTGGAATCAGGTGCCTAGGAGGAGCAAGCATCCCCTGTTGACCGGTCACGCCCGCCGTGAGCCCTATGTATTGATCAGGTAGACGGAACATTCCGTAGTCAATTTCGGCATAAAACAAAGGCCTAACAATTGATATGAAACAAGTCAGCCAAAATGCGACCCAATGATGAGCTATATTTGCTAACAAGGTCATTATGACGATAAAGGACTTTACGAAATGCCGACTTTTAAAGGAGGTTGTTGAAATCCCTTTACATGTAACTTCAACTTATGTGTCAGTAGCCTGCCTCGGTTAAAAAGGTGATCGTACTAGGAGCATGCTTTTGAGTATCGAATAATTTGGGAGATGTAAATACCGTATACAGATGATAGCAGGATATTATTTCATAAATAAGGAAAGTTGCCGATGGAAAAGTTGAATTCATCTTGTTTGTCATACGAAAATGAGAAAAGCTTCTGACAACAACGACAGCTTACGGACAAATTTGGATCAGAAAAGCATACCTGAACCTTCAGCTTAGGTGAATTAACAAATATCACAAAATTACAGAGAAAATTAAAGGTGACCTAAACACAGTCAAAATTTGAGACTGAATATATTACAATTGTGTATTTATCAGATGTGTTCAAAAACCAATCAGAGTCTATTGCAGAAACCACCCGGAAAACGACGGTTTTCCATGTTCATTGCTGATGATATTTCCGCTTCCAATGTATCCGCTATAAGGGTACACACGGACAAACACTACATCTCCTTTGTTGACATGCGCGACAACGTTTCCACTCACAGATCCATCATCATTATTCATAGCGCGAAGGTGAGTTGATCCATACTCAACATTGTTGATCATGAGCTGCGTGGAATGCTGAGCTTCATATAATCGTATAACCCAAATAAAAACATAAACTCCATCTTTTGGGGCAGTAAAAATGCCGTCAACTCCATTGTAACCATGTCCAATATTTGTGACCACATTATCAAAGACAAGGATATGGTGTCCACTTGGGACTTTTTCCGTAACTGACATCCTGGCATAAAAAGCAACAAAATCCTGCGATGGGGGAGGTGAGCTTGAGGGCGGTGAGAGAAGGCGTTCTGAAAGCAACATGACATAGATGTTTGAAGAATAACATTAGATTATACATGTTGTCTGAAGTTCTAATTTAAATTACCTGTGTAGCTTTAAATTTATACAACTAGGAACTACTGTAAGGAAAGACAGTTATAATAACCAAATTTTACAGTTTTGACTAAGATGATATCAGTTTTAAAGTAATATTGTCTGTAATTTTGCTTTATGACAGTATGTGAAGTTTAAATAAAGCATGGTTTATGTACACATGTGATAAAAAATTCTCTATAAAAAAAAATTTCATTAATTTTGAGATCTACTCCGAGATATATCAAACGAAAGACAAACATGATAAAAAATTCATTGGTATTTTAATCATCGCAAGACCTCAAATAAACGAACCTTGCTAAACGGCTATTCTTTTATGTGAATTCTATTTGAAATTCTATTCATGTAGAATCAGAATATTTTTATAATAAATTAATTTTGTAGATGACCAATCACAAGATATGAAAATTTACGAGTTCCATTTTTATTGAGGAATAATTTGTCTATGATGTTGACGTTTGAAAAAAAATCATATTTTAAATTTTCCAAAAGTTTTGAAGTTTATTTAGAATCCACATTTGATTTACACGACGTCTTGAGTATATTGTGGCACAGTACTAGCACGTTTGAAGTTTCTCCTTCGCTGCTGTTAATATTTTGGTGAAGAGTAAGGATAAAGGTTTGGTTGATCATAAGCTGTATACTAGACCCTGCAATATGTCTTTCTTTGTTGGGAATTTTACTAAGTTTTAGAATCCAGTATAGGTACGGTAAATCAACCTCACTTCCATTGACTGGGATTTAAAAGTACATTGTATTTAAAACTGAAAGCTGATGTTAAAAATGTCATTTTTTAAATTGAAAGGGGACTTTGAGTAAAGGTTGAATTTTATACCAGATATGAAATGAAAATTATAATAATGAGCCTTACAAACAAAGATTACATGTATATTTTTACAAGATTTGTCAGCTGGAATCAAAACAAATTTTTCAAGTACCGGTAATTTTTCTACTTTTTTTTTTTTTTTTTTTTTTTTTATCAATTCCGATCTACAGAAAATGGAAGGATAGATAATTCACATTTTGCATTTTAGTTTTCTGATGCGATTTATAAGATATATCTAAAATGATTCATCTATATTCTGTAGAACAGAGTTAGAGCCCCACACCCTCTCCCTTCTTATAGTGTACCCGACTAAAAAGTTAAAACGTATGAATACAAAAATCAAAACATGGCAGCTGTTTTAAACCCGTGCAGATAGATTTGAAAAAAAATTAGGTACATGTAACACAGTATTTGTTCGATCTAAGAGTATGAACAACGCAAAGGTAATATTTACTGGTTATGAAATTCCTTTTTGACCCACTCATTTGACGATTTTGATTGTTTCCTTTCATCATCGTTGATGTAGAATCGTTCACAGAGTTCTTGTCGTCTTTTTTCTTCCTTTCACAATTTTGAATCACTGACAACAGTTCTTTGATATGTTCCTCCTGTCTTCTATTGTCATTCTCAAGTTTACTGATACGGATGTTTTGACGTTCAACGGTTTCGTGAAGAATGGTCAAAGATTTTTGCATTAGGGTTATTTGAGATTGCATGCTTGAGTCTTCTTTGGCGTTTGAAGCGCAACAGAAAGAAAACGCAAATAACAGAATACAAAAGACAACTTCATGTACATGTTGAATCTTTACCGGCGCCATTTTTCTGCGATTGAACTTAGACATAAAGACACCTTATCTTATCGTGTATCAGAATTCTAAGGAGATGAAGTATATAGAAATAATCACGTTGCCCTTATAAAGGGTCTCAGCTGACCAAAAGCTGAACTAAGAGTTAATCTGAAAAAAAAATACATGATATAAATATTACATAAAGTAGAGTCTTTTTTGCTTTGGAGAAAAAAAATCAGTATTTTTATTGTGAAAATAATGAAAAGGCTTGAATATGAACACAGTATTTGCTTGCTGGATTTATGAAAAGAAATGCCCTTATATTGCTATAAAATCCCTTTTCCAGGGATCACGACTTCAGTATATCGTGTAAGCTGTGCATAGAATGTTCGCAATTAAATCGAAATTTCTATGTTCATACGTACAAGAAGATTTTGAAAAGAATGTCTGTGAAAAATTTGTAACGATTCTCACAAAATCATTTTAAGATTAAGATCAAAGTCTACAGTCCTTAAAAAGGAAAGATGCACTGTTGACAGAAAAAGGAACAACAGTACAATTTCAAAATGAATAGTGAATTAGTTTTCCATACAGGCTGCATCAAAGGAGAAACATGAGTAAAAAGTGAATGATGAAGGTGGTTTCTAGCTAAACACAAAAGAAATAAAACAATAAAACTCTGTGTCTTCTTGTATATAGTAATATCACGAATGCAAAAGAAAAAAAAAACTCAAATAGAAGGATTGTTCAGTGAAATACAATTTGAAGGATTTTGAACTCAAAAGCGAACCTTTACTTTACAGGTCAATTGAAACACAAAGCGACACCTGGGCAGATAAAGCAAATGGAGGAAAAAGTATTCGAAAGCCAAGTTAGAGCAAATCCAGTCAAACATTTCTCAATTAAAGAGAAATTTACGATATCAATTATATTTGATTATTGCAATAATGTCGGTACATGTAAAGACTGCCTGTATTTTGACTCATTCTCCGATGGAAGACAGGGTGGAAAATGAACAGGAAATATTGTAATTACAGGCAGAAGCATATGTCACCCCGAGGTGCCACCGTAAAAAATGCAATATTGAAGTTGAAAGCAGAGTAAGTGTCTTCTATTTCAAACTTGAATATATTTAAGATTTTCAATCTTTAAATAAAATTGACAAAACAAACAGAGGAAAATGGCAATAATTAATAAATCTAAATAACACGCTTTTTTTTATATAGCAATTACTACTATGGTGTCCGGATAGGGCCATTTGCAAAAGCTCAACAGCGCGTTCAAAAAAAAACACGATGTCGCGCTAACACACAACATGCTGTCACGCTAACACAAGTTCGCACAACACGCCGTCGCGCTAACACACAACGCGCTGTCACGCTAACACAAGTTTGCACAACACGCCGTCGCGATTACACACAACACGCTGTCACGCTAACACACAACACGCCGTTGCGCTAATGCAACTTTACACAACACGCTGTCGCGCTGTCACACAACTCGCTAACACAACTTTGTGATAGCGCGAATGCGAGTTGTGTGTTAGCGCGACGGAGTGTTGCTTGAAAGCGTGTTAGCGCGACGGCGTGTTGTGTGAACTTGTGTTAGCGTGACATCGTGTTGTGTGTAATCGCGACGGCGTGTTGTGCGAACTTGTGTTAACGTGACAGCGCGTTGTGTGTTAGCGCGATGGCGTGTTGTGCGAACTTTTGTTAGCGTGACAGCGTGTTGTGTGTTAGCGCGACATCGTGTTTTTTTTGAACGCGCTGTTGAGCTTTCGCAAATGGCCCTATCCGGACACCATAGAAAACAAAGAAATTTACAATATTTAATCTTTTCATGTTCTTACTTTGATCGTGTTGATTGTTATTAACCTCGGGTTTCCCAATGATTTTCAATGGATTGCTATACAGTATTTATATCCCCCGAAATGGGGATGTCCGTCCGTCCATTACTCTGGGAGTACCCATCTCTTAACTGCAACTCCTCCTATACCACTAAATAAAGTATAAAGAGACTGAATCTGTATTACATAGTGCCACTGTACATCACATTTTAATTGGACACATATTTGGGCATTCCAATATTAATAGCATACCATGGACTTTGCCATTGTACTCATATGGGAGCGGAGTTATTACGGGGTCAGAGGTCATAGCGTGACCGAATCACACGGCGAGATGATAACTGCCTACATATTTTTGTCACAGTGGAACTGGTTTTGGAACTTCCAAGCTTGATAACGATGACAAAGATAAAGCATATGGATATTTTTGCTGTCGAGATTAGATGGACAGTGCAAACCTATGGTGTGCGGATAGGGCCATTTGCAAAAGCTCAACAGCGTGTTCAGAAAAAAGCGCCGTCGCGCTAACACACAACACGCTGTCACGCTAACACAAGTTCGCACAACACGCTGTCGCGCTAACACACAACGCGCTGTCACGCTAACACAAGTTCGCACAACACGCCGTCGCGATTACATACAACACACTGTCACGCTAACACAAGTTCGCACAACACGCCGTCGCGATTACACACAACACGCTGTCACGCTAACACAAGTTCGCACAACACGCCGTCGTGCTAACACGCTTTCAAGCAACACGCCGTCGCGCTAACACACAACTCGCATTCGCGCTATCACAAAGTTGTGTTAGCGAGCTGTGTGACAGCGCGACAGCGTGTTGTGTAAAGTTGCGTTAGCGCGACGGCGTGTTGTGTGATAGCGTGACAGCGTGTTGTGTGTTAGCGCGACGGCGTGTTGTGCGAACTTGTGTTAGCGTGACAGCGTGTTGTGTGTCAGCGCGACGGCGTGTTTTTCTGAACGCGCTGTTGAGCTTTTGCAAATGGCCCTATCCGGACACCATAGTTTTCAACAAATCATTTCATAAATCACTAACATTTAATATGAAGAATTTAGATACACCGTGACGGAAAAAATTTAAAACTGACAAAAGTAGAATTTTTGTTGACACATGCAAATTTTGTTCAATTCTTGAAGATATTAGGTTTCAGAAAATTATACGTTTCAGAACCTAAAAATCTACTTTTTTGGAGAAAAATAAAAGTAAATATAATTTTTGTTTGCCCCAACACAAAAATATTGCTTCACTTCTTCCTCTTTATTGTACGCATGCGCAGAAAAGTTGAAGGATTTACCATGGTGTCAATTCCATAGATATAAATATCGGATGACCGAGGATTTTGATACAATCTTCAATAAAGATGATCAGAACTTATTCCTCACTACTTCTGCTTGCTCCAAATTCAATGTTGTTTACAAGTTTCACGCTAAAAATAAAAGTGCGTGACCTTGACATTGTTGATATTCACGATAACAACTAAGGGGTAGATAAAACCTTTGTTTTTCCGGCACTTACGTTTTGCACTTCTTTTCTTGCTTTACAGTGCAGCTGAGTTGACAACACTTCGCTTTATTCATATTTCACATAAAGTCTTTTGTTTTATGATACAATTATCTTAAAAGAAACACATGATTTTGACTCATTTTGTAAATTTAAAATTAAAAACGACCATGAAATATAACAAAATAAAAGACGTGTACAGAATATAGGCGTAGAATCATATTTTGGCCAGAATTAAGTGTGTCCACAACTGCAACGGGCTTGAGGTTGTGTTTTGCACTTTTAAGTATACTGAAACGCAAAAGAAACGCAACAAGTAGTAATCTACAAAATATTTTTATCTTATGATTTTCAAAAATGAATACAGTAAGGTAAAACTCGATTTAAAAACATCAGAGATTTGATAAACATTTTAAATGAATATCTTTTTACTTTAGAAAGCAACACATGGCTGTTAGAACACCCCACCCCGGCCATTCAACTACAGCGTGTAAGACTGCCATGCACAAAAATTGCAGCTTGATTTCTACGATGCAATAGTTTTATCAATCTCGAGATCTGAATCAGCAGACCCCATATATTCCTACATGTATGTAAAATTAGGATAAGATATTGCGACCCGACCCTACCTCAGCCCCACTCTATCTCCAGGTGTCATGATTTTAACAAATTTGAATCTGAGGTTGCTTCCATGTAAAAATGACTAATCATGGCTTTGCTGTTCCCTAGAAAAAAGACTCCTCCTGTGTATTCATCACCAATCATGGCCATATGGAGACGCCACTACTTGCCGGTGGAGAGCTGCACTCAGGGTCATTGAGCAGTGAGGGATTTTTTTTCGTGCCAGCACCTACTGCGACACGGGACCTTGATTTGTACGGTCTTATCCGAAGGACCAATCTCCACGTCCCGCAATGGGATTCGAATCCGCGACGTAAGGATCAACTCCTTACACCGCGACTCTAGAGCAAAGGCTGTGCCAGCGGGCGACGGTCATGAGTCTACACAATACTATCTGAGTTCATGATTTGAGGAAACCCGAATCTACAATACCTGAGGAAGCTTCCATACAAATATAACTTATCCTGGCTGTGCTGTTCTTGAGAAGAAGAATTTTTAAGATTTTTCCTATGTATTCCTATTTAAAACTTCTATCGCCCATAGTTGCCCCACCAAAGATTTAAACAAAACTGAATCTGCAATACCTGAGGATGCTTCCATACAAATATGACTAATAATGAGTTTACTGTTCTTGAGAAGATGAATTTTGAAGATTTTACCTTTTTATTACTATGTAAAACTAAAACTTTAATTGCCCATATTGGTCACAGCAAACCCCTGGGTTTCATGATATGAACAAAA